GAGTGTCCACTTTCTGTTGTAATGGGTTTAAAACATGTGGCTTTCATCAGTGCTTTGTGAAATGTGGTATTTAACTAGATCTGGCTTCCACTCACATTCAGAAACTTGGACCCCATAATGACAAATGCAAGACTTCCTGTACTAGGTGTAAGGGTAAGAATCAGGGATTTGAAATCCTTTCATGATATGGTAGTCAGGTTTTACTATTCTCTGGTTCGGGGTAAAGGCTGGCCACAGTATTTAATTAAGCTAAGGAGAGAAAGAAAAAAACTTAGTTGGTAATAACTGGGGACTATTGTGTGGTAAGCTGAGGAGATCAAATTACCCCACAAGTCTCCAGTTCAGTATGGTGGAAATCTCTGTATTTCCAATATTCCCTCAACAGGGTTGCATTTTCTTACAAGTTACAATTGGCATCAGTTTTGTGCATTTTTTAAATTAGAGATATCACAAGAAAAAATAGGTTATGATGCATAATAACTGTCAATGAAATCCCCCTTTCTTTCCTCCTGTTGAGATTTTAGAGTTATTATTGAGATAACTGACCTTTACATTCAGTGCTGTGGTTTGCATAGTGCTTTATATTCATTATCTTAATTGATCCTTAAAGCAACTCACAGTGAGGTATATGTAAAATATCTTTTTTACAGATGATGAAACTGAGGCTTAGAACAGTTAATTGAACTTAATAAGTGACTCAGATGGGATTGGAACTCAGGTGTTCTTAGTTTTAAGTCCAATATGCTAGTCACTAGGCCAAAAATGTCACAGTAAGAACATTTTAATTCATGTTTCTTTGTAACCTCCCTATAAAGGGCCTGAACGAGGACTCTTTCACCTTCATTTCCTTGAGTGGAATCTGCTCAGAAAGTCCCAACAGCTGCTTTGTTCTATTTTGAAATACCTTAGAGATCTTCTAAGATGGATGATTAAAAAAAAGGAAGAAAGAAAAAAAGAAAAGAAAGAAAACAGCTGTTATTTTGCCAAAATAAATATCCGTTCAGAATGGGAGAGGCAACTTATCTAATCTGAAGGGGGCAATGTGGCTCTAAAGCTTCTTTGTTTGCTCTGCAGTGCCAAGCCCTTATGTAAAAAACCTTGTTCAAAATAAACCTGACAGAGCTGCAGGAGTGCTCTAGTCCAGAGTCCAAGAGATAGAAGGCTTTCCTGTCTTTTTGGAGATTTGTGGAATGCTGTTTATAAGCTTGGTGAGGAGCTATTTCTGGGGCTAGAAGGAATGTGTTGTTTTGGGGGGGTTCAGGAAAAACAAAGATAGAAGGGTGATTTTTTTTTAAGAAGAATAATTAAAAAATACCATGGCAAGGGGACATTGCTCATGGCTCTCTTAAAAATGAAGATAAAGGCCCTAGAGAAGGCAAGGACTATTGAATTTTTAATGTCCCTTAAAAACAAACGGAGTCTCTTAGTGAAGAAAATGCCTCAGGGAACTTTAAACCACCTGGCCTTGTTGCCAGGGCAGTGCTGACCCAACATGGTGCTGAACACCAAGAGGTGCTCAACTGATTTATTACTTAGAGCAACTGAGAATAATAGAACCACAGATTTAGAGATGGAAAAGAACTTATAGGTCTTATATAGACCTTATATAACTTGTCCAAGTTCTTCATCTTACAGATGAGGACACTGAGACTCAGAGTATGACCTACCCATTAAATAAGGATCAGCTAGGGAACATCAGTCTCTACTAAACTCCATTAGAGGCAGCTAGAAAGCCCAGTGGAGAGAGCATTGGAGCTGGAATCTGGGAGACCTGAATTCAAATCTAACCTCAAACACTTGTTAGCTATAACCCCGGGCAAATCACTTTACCTCTGCCACCTTCAATTTCCTCTACTATAAAATGGGGATAATAATAGCACCTACCTCACAGGATTGTTGTGAGGATTGAATGAGATACCATTTGCAAAGCACTTAGCACAGTGCCTGGAACACAGTAGGCACTTAATAAATACTTACTCCTTCCTCCCATTAAAGGTTGGTGTGTGTTGATGTTAAACCTTTGAGTCAATCCCCTTTCTAGTTTTGTTCCATAATGCCCAGTCTGATCCAAAGTTTAGTGTCCTACTATGAGGTGGGGGTCCAGTTAGACCTCAGGACACTGGAGTGGGGATCTGAGTCAACCTCACCATTTGGAGCAGGGATAACCCAGGAAAAGGTTTCTTCTAGACTCAGGATGCTAAATCATGAAATATTGGCATTAAGAAGGTGTCTTTGATATCATCTGGTCCAATCTCTGAATTTTATAGATGAGAAACAGGAGCTGAGAGGCAGGAAGTGATTTATCCAAAGTTCTTAAGACAAAAACATGGCAATACCAGGTCTCAAACCCAGGTCTCCTGTATTCTAAATCCAGTGCTTGAACAAGGCCTGAGTGGGTTCATTCAGGGAGTGGTGAACAGAGTACCATTTCCTGGGGCATCTGATGTTGGTGCTTGTCAGTTATTAGGAAACTAATCTTCATCATCTTGAAGCTGTTGTTGTTTAGACAAGATGCAAATTCTCTAGTATAGCATGTTCAGCATAATATCCAGAAGGGATTATCATATCGTGTCCTGCCAAGTTGTAACTCATCACCTCTTGCCACGTGGAGCACAATTTTTTTTAATTTTTATTATTTATTTACTTAGTTATTTTTTACTGAATGTCAGCTCCTGAAAGCATCCTCCCTACAAGGCATCATTACTTGAAGACGGGGAGCTTGTCCTACAGACAGCTCTGCTAATGACAAGAGCAAGTCTTAGAAGATAGCCTAGGCCTAGGCTTGAAGGACAGTCTCATCAAGGCTCAGATATTAGGTCTCTATAATATTCTGTTCCCCAGCATGAGAAAAGAATCCATAGCTGGGATTGGCAGGGCAGCTACTCTCTTGAGATAACGGCTTGAGGGAACCATGCTGAGAGCCCAATGTGAACCGTTAAGCCCTAACAATTCAATTTTTTAAAAGGAGTGTCTCTGTTCTCATCAATCAAGTTTTCATTTCCAATGGGCAATAACCTTGTAAGGCACTCTCAGGAAATCAGAAGCTAGGGTCCTGTGTGTGGAAAGTCAATATAGTATTTTCCATTGTCAACTTAATCTCACAGACTTAACAGGAATTTCTCCTTTCAGTGGATTTGAAGTTCCATATATCACAAGGGTGAGTAACATAATTTATCAGACTGTCTGTCATTTAAAATGAAAAAGATATGTCTTGCATTTGGGCTTATTAGTGCTACAATAGTATTCTCTTACATTCATATAACACAATTATGTTATGTGCTACAGTACCATTGTTCAGTACCATTAATTAATAATAGCTGACATCTATTTTGATATTTACAATTTCAAAACACTTTATAGCCGTTATTTCATTGGATCTTTGCAACAACCTTGTGATGCCATATCTTAGTCCATTTTACAAATAAGAGAATTAGATCACAGAGCCGTTAATTTAATGTGCTCAAGATCATACCACTGGTAAGCATGTTATAATGAGTGAAGAACTGCACAAAACATGTGTCCATCCATTGAGAAATAACTGAACAAATTGTGTACATACAAATTTAAGTGAATATTTTTGTACCGAAATGATGACTATGATGAATTCATGTAAATCTGAGAAGACTTGTATAAACCTATGCAGAATGAAACAAGCAGAAGCAGGAAAACATTGTATACAATGTCCAAAATAAAGGAAAACAATTCCATAAGACTACAGAACTCTGATCAATGCAATGACCAATCCCGCCTTCAGAAAACTGATGGTAAAGCATGTCACCCACCTCTTGGCCAAAAGATGGTGGACTAGAGGGACAGAATAAGACATACATGGTCAATGTGATGATGAAGATGATGAGGATGATAATAATAGCATTTATATAGTGTTTTGCTGTTAGAATACTTCATATATGTTATCTCATTTGATACAACATGCCTAGCAAGTAGGTGCTTTTATTATCCCCATTTTATGAATGTCAAAACTGAGGCAAATAGAGATTAAGTGACTTGTCCAGTGGATTTGAATTGAGGTCTTTCTGACCCCAGGTCCATTACTCTATCTAGTATACCACCTAGCTACTTACGTTGAATTGATTTGCTTGACTATTATTAGGATGGAGGGAGTGAGGGAGGGAAGAAGGAAGGAAGGAAGGAAGGAAGGAAGGAAGGAAGGAAGGAAGGAAGGAAAAAAGGGAAGGAGGGAGGGGGAGGGGGGAACAAAGGAGGAAGGAAGGGAAAGGTGAAAAGGAAAGAAAGAGAGAGATGGATGGAGAGACAGACAAAGAGAAGGGAGAGAGGGAGGGAGGATATTTTAAAAGCACAGAAAAAAATTCAGAAGGAAATAAATCCAATGTTGTAACTGCCATGTTGCAACTAATACATACTTTTTAAAATCTGAACATAATGAAATGCACAGTTTCATATACAACGTTCTTTGTTCTTCTCTGACTACCAAAATGTTCAGGATTATGGATAATGGCAAAATTCACAATAAAGGCAAACTCTGAGTCAAAGGCCTTGATCTGTTCCTTGCTACTTAGGTGACAATGGGTAAGTAAGTCACTCTGTTTTTATGGGTCTCAGTTTCCTTTCCTTGGAGGGGACTGAGCTAAATGACCTCTGAGGATCCTTCCACTTACGGATCTCTTGCCTAAGGCTCTAAATCCAATACTCTTTGAGGTATCTGGTGGTACACTGGGCGGAGCCCTGGAGTATAGAGGCCCTGAGTTCAAATCTGACCTCAGATACTTATTAGCTGTGTGACTTTGGGCAAGTTATTTAACCTCAGTTTCCTCAACTGTAAAATGGGGGTAATAATAGTACTTACCTCCCAGGGTTGTTGTGAGAATCAAATGTGCCTTGTACATAGGAAGTGCTATATAAATGTTTATTCCTTTCCCTTCTCTCTGCTTTCATTATACAGGTCCTGCTTGAGGAAGATAATTTTGATACACTTAAAAGAGACCAAAGGGATATTCAACAGTCTCCAATGTGATTCTTACCCACACATCCTAGGAGTCCCATTGGCAAATTTTATTCTGATAAGTCAGTTTTCTCAATCATTAGTTAATAATCTCAATTCCTTATGATAGAAGGCTTTCTCCAGGCAGAACCTGTTTGCTCACGACAGCATCAGGATTACAAATATTTAAGATATATTTCTTCATTGTCTCCAGAGACACTCAAGGCTGTGGGGGAAGTGATAAGAAAATTCATTAATTTTTTGTTAACTGCCATGTCATTCACACCATTGATAAAAATAATTTTAAAATGTTAATGTCCTTTGTTTTTGAAGGATTCTTCCAAGGCAGTGAGTTAAAAACCTATCTAAAAAGTAACTCAGTAATATGCTATTGCAGGCTTCCAATTATACTAGAAACATTTTATTAAAATATATTCAAAATCTGAAGTTGTCAATGTCATTTTTCCAAAATTCTATTATATCCTAATGCAATAGCAACTTGATGACCAGACAATATGACAGTCCTTGGTGTTCATAATATTGAATACCTCCTGAGTCTTTGGAATATTGTATAATACGATCTTGAAAGCTCCAAGGTCAGTTCTCAGACTGATTTTTAAATTTCCTGATAATATATTATTGGGCTTTTTATTTTTGCTTCAGTAAAAACCTGCCTTCAACACTTTAATAGTCTTGAACATAAAATAAAGATAGAAATCATTAGCATTTGTAGGGCACTTTTAGGGTTCTTAATGATTGTGTTACAGTTGAGATGCATTTTTGTTAAAGTCACTTACTTTAAATAGGTATTTAAATTTCCTTTAAAAAGTCAGTTTAAACCAACCTTTATTCATTTTCATCCAATTAGCACTTGTAATTGCAATAAATTCATAGGCTTCTCTAAGACCATGACTTGCCTCTACAGAGATAGCTAGAATTCTAAAAGGGCCAGTACCTACACTTTCCCCTTCTCTGCTGTTCAGTTCCATGCAGAGGACACTGTTTTAGGTGGAGAAGATACAAAGATGCAAATAAGCAGTCTTCGCTACGGTTACCAATCAGCCTGTGTTTCCGACCAGTTTGCCTAGTATTTAGGTCATAGTCATGTAGAGCAAAAATAGAACTCAGAAATCATCTACTCCAAATCCATCATTTGACAGATGAAGGAAGAAACTGAGGTTTCTTCAACAAGGTTCAATGAGTTGATCCAGTGGCAAGCAGGACAGAGTCAAAATCTGAACTTAGGTGCTCTGACTCCCAAGCTACTTCTTTTTCCACAATGCCACAATCTTATCACGGATGCCGATTACTTCTTAGAGGGGCCGAAACTAATCATTTCTATCTTTATTTTATGTTCAAGACTATTAAAGTGTTGAAGGCAGGTTTTTACTGAAGCAAAAATAAAAAGCCCAATAATATATTATCAGGAAATTTAAAAAAAAGTTGAATCGAAACGTTGTCAAGGCAGAAAAGGCCAGATTTGGCAATTTCCTGGATATGTAGGCAAGAAGGTGAGGAGTTGAGGATAATGCCAAAGTTAGGAACCTAGAGACTGAAAGGATGGTGGCTCTTTTGACAGAAATAAAAAAAAAATTTGAGAGTTTAGGAGGAAATATAATGAGTTTAGTTTTGGACAGGTAGAGTGTAAATCCAAGACAGCCAGTTTGAAATTGCCAGCTGATGATATGGGAACTAAAGCCTGGGGATGGATATAGAGATCTAATTTAATCAGGATTTACATTCTTAAATTCATCTCCCTCTCTCCACTCCCGCAGCTACTACCTTAGTTAGGCCCTCATCACCGCCTGCCTAGATTACTGTGACAGCCTCCTAATTGGTCTCCTCTATATCAAGTCTCCTCCCACCTCAGTCCATCCTATGCAATGCTGCCAAAGTAATTTTTCTGACCATGTGACTCCTCAATTCAATCAAATCTAACATTAAAATATAAACTCCTACTACTTCTAAATAATATAGACATTTGTAATGGTCTTACAGAAGCCTATAGATTTATTACAAATTACAGGTGCTAGCTGAATAATAGCTTATAGAGGCTGATTTAAATTGATTTATTTAAAAAAATTTAAATAGGCCCCAGCTTGACTTTCAGGCCTCATTAGACATCACTCTCCTTCCTGAACACTACCATCCACAGTTCTCCATTTGTGCCTTTCACTAGTCATCCCACATGCCTGAAATGCACTTACATCTTCCTCCCAGCGTCCCTCTCTTTAAGACATAGCCTAAGTACCCTGTTCTTCATGAAGCCCTTCCTAATCCCTCCAGCTCATAGTGCCCTCCCTCCTAAACTACTCTGTAATTAAGTACTTTGTATCTATTTGTGTTTATTTACTTCATAAATATAAAGTAAATGCATAAAACATGTAAAAGTGCTAGATGTATTTGTTATCTCACCCATTAGGATGTAAACTCTTTGCACCTGAGATTATTTCACTTAAATTTGTATTCCCAATGCCTAGCATACTGCCTGGTGCTTAAAAAATTGTTTTTGGTTAATGATGATGATGATAGATAGGTAACTAGAGAATTTATTAAGCACTTAATATGTCCCTGGCACTGTGCTAAGAGCTGGAGCTATGAGTACAAGCAAAAAAAAAAAAAAAAGCAATCTCTACCCTCAAGAAACTAACATTCTAACCAAAGAAGACAACACAAAAGAGTAGTGGGACAATGATGTTAAGAGCAAGAATGATTGATATTTGTATAGCATTTTGCAGTTTGCCAAGCACTTTATAAACATTACTTTGAGCCTCACAGCTACTCTGTAACATAAATATATTATAGGCATTATTAACCCCATTTTATAGGGGATGAAACTGAGGCTAAATACCTTGACCATGAAACTGTAGAAGAGATGGGGTTTGAGGCCAAGTCTTTCTGGAATGAAGGGCAGTGAATTAAACATCTGGTTTCATGCCTGGATCAAATGCAGAACTGCTTTGAAAAGTGGAGCAATCTCAATACTAAAAATTCAAGCACTTTCTGACTCTCTACTACTCCATATTCTGTAGGAAGAAAACACGCACACACACACATACACACACACACACACATACCCCATCATAGAATAAATGGAAAACTACTCCAAATCCTTTCTCCAGTCCCTGTAATTTTCTGACAACTTTGTTTTAAGATAAATCTGTCTTTTGCCAAATCACCCATTACAGAGTGTGCCCAGGAACCGTAGGGTGCCTCTAAACGGGAGAGAAAGGTCAGAAAACAGTCAAAGCCACAGTGATTTCAATGACTAAATGAACTAGGACTGTGAGTTGCAGAATGTCATAACAACTTCCAGAGCACCAGTTTGTGGTTTTTCAAGAGGGACAAGTAGGTGTGGGTTTCAAGGGTGGCATAACCACCCCTCAAAAAAAAACTGAAATAACCATGCAGATGTATTGTATTTACTGTCTGCTGCTTGGTGATAGGGAACTGTTTGCTTGCAACTAAAAAAGAGTGCTCTCCCCTCACTTGCAACATGACTCAGGCAGGCTGTTATTTTCCTTGTAAAAACAATGTGCCACCTCATGCTAAATTTTAACCCAGCTGCATATGAAGTAAGGGTAGAAGGTTAGGGGAGAGGAGGGAGGGACAGCAAGACATCAGGGAAAGAATACTAATTTAATCCAGTAATTTCATAATAGCATATATCACATAATAATTCAATAAACGGGTCTTATATTTAAGTTTCTGATATGCGTAAGGGAGGTACTGACTGTGCTAAGTAACTGGGATTACAAAGACAAAAAGGAGTTTATATTCTGGAGTTCTAATCTCTGAGCTCAGACACCAGCTCCCGTAAATTAATATGAATTTAAAATGTATTTGTTGAATTACAGGTGGCAAAAAATTTAAGCCATTCCTCTTTATTTGCTGGGATGGCTTTTACAGGGTGTTTCGCTTGACTCTTGCCATGTCGGCATCACCTCTGTTTTCCCTCTGGCATTAAGTTTTCTCTTGTATGTGGGACCAGGTAGCTTGAAATACTGCCGAATGGTTTATGGGGCAGAGTTTAAAAAAACAATCTCCCAGGCCCCATTGAGGGATGTCTAGCATTTAACCAAATAACTTCCAGCTAGAGCCAGACTGACGTAGTTCCAGTAAAGAACACTAGATGGCAGTCAATTACTACTTTGTTGGCAGCCCAGTTTAGTACGTAGCAAAGCAGCAATTTACACATTTTTAGCACATGCTTAGTGGAGTTATACTAGTTACAATAAACATCTTTTTTTTTTTTTTAACTGTTCCAAGAATCCTGGTTAGGTATCTGCTTTGCATATCAGTAAAAATGAAATAAAAGGATATCAATATATTCAAGAATGAATTATAATTTTAATTTTGGTATAAAAGGCATAGTTTAAAAAATAGCACAACCTAGGAAAGCTGGGCTTAAGCTTCTTCATCTTATAAGCCCAATTAAGAAGTAAATGAAATTCCTGATGTCCCCCAACCACCAAAAAGACACATCTAAAGATCTCCTTTTAGTGACCTTGAGACTGATGTTAAGCCAAAAGAAAGTTGTTGGACATCGCATCAGAGATTTAGAGCTGAAAGAGACCTTAAAAGTGATCAAATTCAAATCCTTCAGATTACCAAAAACAGGCCCAGAGAGGCGAAGGGTCTTGCCTGGTTCAGGAAATAAAAGTCAAAGGGAGGATCTGAAGCCAAGTCCTCTGACTATGAATCTAGCATTCACTTCACTACTCCCTGAGGCAGAGGACTTTATGTGCTCAGTCGGAGTATGTGCTCCTTGTGAACAGTCTGTCTCCAGAGCTTAATAAAGTACTTTGCACATAGTAAGTGCTTAATAAATGCTTTAATCATACATTCATTCATTCATTCAAATCTGCAAAACTGCTATGGAAACTCTAGCTATAATTTCTCTAATAAGGCGTCTCCATTTCTTACTAGAACTAAACTGAGAGCTAGCTATAGCTACTTCAAGCAAGATAATGACACTGTATCCAAAAAGCTGTTTTTCTGCCAACTCTTTATTCTCTGAAAACTCTGGGTTTTCAATTTCACTGGAGAGAATGTGTATTTACAAAATGTTTCCACATACTGTATCAAGCAACAAGCATTTATCAACTATTCACTGTATACCAGGCACTACACTAAATGTTGTGAATATAAATACAAAAAATTTAGCACTCACTACTCTCAAGGAGATACTTTCCAAAGGAATAATGGTTAAATGATAGGACCCTC